CTTAAATAAGTAGCACAAATGTAGTTTAGAAATCTTTAATGTAATTACTTTTATTACCTAATAAAGTTTCTACTTTGACATAATAATAAAAAAAAATTTTATATAAACTAACAGTCAAATTTATACAAACTAATAGTCAAATTTGTACAAATTGATAGTCAAATTTATACATAATACTTTTAATTAAATTACAATATTTTGTGACCTAGTAACTTAAATTATATAAATTTGATATCATTTAATTTAGCTAATTTTAACAAATTAAATAATATTAAATTTACATAATTTAAGTTACTAAGTCACAAGCTATTACAATTTAATTAAAAATGTTATATATTAATTTGACTATCAGTTTGTACAAATTTGACTATTAGTTTGTATAAATTTGACTATTAGTTTGTATGAATTTAACTATCAGTTTGCATAAATTTGACTGCCAGTTTGTATAAAGTTGGTATGCAAAACCTATATATTGTATATTAAATACCAAAATTTTAAATATATAAAGACTTTTATAGCAAAAGAAGACAGTAAATAGTTTTAAAATTTGATCTTTAAAGAGGTATGGCGACCTAGTAAAGTGGTCAGGTTGTCAACCTCTTAAGTGGTAGGTTGGATATTCAAATCCTATCGACGATAAAAATTTGAATAATCATCTATATAATATTCATATTACAGCAACTATTACTAACGATTGGGTTAGGATACCTGTAATGGTGGTTACACCAGTATGACTGGCAGGTCATAGGGCATCTGTGTAAGTATGGTATTATACAAAAGAATGCAAACTGACAAATTAGGTAGTACAAACACTAGATAAGTTCTTGTAGCTATATAAATCCATTGAAATTGAATAACAAGAAGTCCATTTGGAAAGACCTGAGTAAAAAGGTAGCTGGATCTTTGACGACCCTACTGTAAAGGCTAGCTTGAGAAAATGGATACCAAGGTCGTAGTATCTGGTCATAGTAGCCAGATGGGCAAGAACCTCTGGATTGGAAGGCTTGGAAGTACTATCAACTAGGCTGCTAGAACAAACTAGAGAAAAAGAATATTAGGTTGACCCGATATACCGATGGACTGATCATAGTCCTATACAGACTATCTGGATTGGGAGTTTGGTAAAAAGACTGGACAAAAGGCAGAGATATACTAAAGTACTGAGGTTATGCTATGAAGTAGATGCTGAGGTCTAAGTAAACTCTACAAAGGCATAGCAGTTTAATGGTTAGCTCTAACTACAAGTGTTAGTTCTGTTATAGTGATATCTAGGTCAACTGTAAAAATGGGTACAGAAGGCTCTGAGGGATTTATCTTGAAGATAAATTAGTCCTAAGGTTGAAAACGATGATCTGGTGCATCTGAGATAATCAGTGATGTTAATACAGATTACAGGTTCAGAGAGTTTAAAGTGGAACATCCAAGCAAAGGTGTTAGATACAGCAATTAGTAAGAAACCTTCAAGTGGACTCCTTAAATAGGTAATATAGAAAAGTTACACATGTAGCCAATTGTACACTTTTCTGTAGTGGTTCATTAAACCACAATACTGATAAGTAATTAATAAAAGTTAAAAGACCAAAGAGGTTATCTTAATATCAAAAAAAAAAAAAATTTGATCTTTAAATAATTATATATTGTGATCTAGTAATGATTTTTATATTATTAGATTCATCTTAATAAAATAAATTTAGTAATATAAAAATAATTACTAAATTATAAAATATACTTATTTAAAAATTACATTTTAAAGCTACCTACTACCTTTTTTTGTTATAAGAGTCCCTATATATAAAACTTAAAATACTATAACTTAAAAACAAATTAGTTTAACAAAAACCTTTTTTACAAAAAAGTGTTTTTTATTCTACAATTTTTATTAGAATAATATATAATTTTATTATAACCAGTGTTGTTAATTTCTTGTTTTATTAATAAAAATTATATTCTTTTCTAATTTATATTGCATTATTTTATTGGTTTATTTATTTATTACTATATTAATATTTCATTTATAATCTTGTTGGCAATTTTTTGTTCTATTGACAAAATTTTATTCTATTCTGCTCTATTCTATTGTTCTATTCATCTACTGATCATAATGATAACTGCAAATTCGTATAAGGCTCCGATGGGGTTCGGAAAGGTCGGCGATGACGTGACCGCGAATTTTTTTGGTCACCTCTCGATTAGTTTGAAAATTTTTTGTCAACTTATATTAAAATCGAATAAAAATCGAATAATCGTTAAGATGAAAACTAATTTTGATTGCAAAATTTTTGACGATTTGTATCACTACCTCTCAACGATTCGGGTATTTGGAATTTGCAAACAATAGCAAAATTTTTTTTATTAATACATAACTTTCGACTAGATAACATAATAAGCATTACTATGCATTTATTGTATTATTTATTGATAAGCATTACTAGTCAAAGTTTTATTCGGCAGGTAGTATAAGCGTAGAGGCTAAATTCAACATATTACAAATACATCTTTACTTGTACAATTGTATAATAAAAAATTCGGAATTTACTTGTAAATTCCGAAATTCCCGATTCAATATACGTATTAAAAAAAAAAATCGTAGCGATTACGTATAAAAATTCTGTGTTAAAAATGAATTTAGAACTAAAGCTTCCATATTTGACTATATTCGAATGTTTAAAGGGTTGTCTTTCTATATCGATATCGTTGTATATAAAATTATTAATTATCAGTTAGTCAGATGACGGAGTCATATTAACCACTGTTAACTATATTCCAAACACGTAGGGTACACAATGACACATGCTTTTTTGCTATGAGACGATACCAAAATATCTTTAAACTGTCGTTATTCACAAAGCTTTTTTCACGCGAAAACAGTGTATTCTAGTCGTTAAAAGAAGTCGCTGGTTAAAATGCATAAAGTAAGGAGAAGACGTGTAGTTCCCGTTGACGTTCATAGCGAAGACGAGGACGAATTCGACGTTACTCGAGAAGAACTGGAGCTCAGTGATCTATCCGGCTCAGAAGCAAGTTGCGAAGATTCGGACATTGAAAGTGAAAATTCACACAGTGACGGAGAAGAAGAAATCATTAAAGAGACTACAAGCTCGATTACGGAGGAACAAAATTCTATTAGAGAAGAGGAAAGTTCGATTGCGGAAGAGCAGAGTTCTATTAAAGAAGAGGAAAATTCTGCAATAGAGGAAATCAGCAGCTTAATTGAAAGCACAACCTTAACCTCGAATGAGGAAAAGGTAAAAAATAAGTTCAAGTCAGATATTTCAAATTCTCCCGAAGTAAAAAGAACTGCGCATGTGGAAGACAAACAAAGAACTGATAACGGTTCAACGGTTAAAGAAATTAACCATGAGAGTAGTTCACCTGAAGAATTAGTTGAAAGCCTAACCGACGAAGAAAGCGATAGATTGGACGATCTAGATTTAGGCGAAGATAAAAATGGTAATAAACCTAAGGTATTGACAGGTTGGCAAAAGAAATTGCTGGCAAGGCAAGAATATCGTAAGAAACTTGCAGAAGATCCAGCATTCGTACCTCATCTTGGGGAATTTTGGGGACATGATGATCGGTTTATAAGAGATGAATTAAAAAATGATTTTGATCACCGTCCGAGAAATTTACCTTTTGCACCCAAGTAATTACTAAGATAACGTTTATATTTTCTAATGTGTAAATATAATTTTATGTATTTAATTCTATAATCAAATTAATTGATTACAGAGGGAGAGTAGTTTGGGGTGTTAATGAGCCCAGAGGTCGATGGGATCACGACGGTTTTGAGGAGTTAATGAAGATGGATGAGGAAGAACGGCGTAGGAAAGAATTTCAACGCAGGTTTCAACAACGTCGTGGCTTTAAACCTAGAGTATGTTTTTTTTTTCCTTTAAACGAATCCTGATACTTGAATTTATAACATTTTAAATTTCACATTTAGCCCAAGATATATCGCCATCGACCAATTATACGAAATAATATTCCATCATTTAAAATTAATCAAAATCGGATGTCAAATTTATCTTCCGGAAGAAAGCCTTTGCCGTCAAGGGTAGTGACAACTAATAATAAAGTAAAATCTTTGAACAATATTGGTACACCAACTCAGAGAACTTATATCAAGGAGAATCGAACAGACTTTAAGCAGAAAGGGGTAGAAACTACAGTAGAATCAACATCACAATATAACAATCAAAAGCATACTTCTCATTCACGTGATACTAATAGATTTCGAGGTGGTCGAGGATATAGTAAAACACCTTTACGATCACAGTCAAACCGCGTTCATTCTGCATACCACAAACAAAATGCGAGTGTTAATGGAACAAATACAATTGTTAACAAAAAAAGTATGGATGTAAATGAACAAGGGCATATAAAACAGCAAAACGAGGGTAGTGGCAACGATGTTGAACAAGATCATAAATTAACTAAGGAAGAACCAGGTCCAGAAGCTGTAACAGGTGAGACAAATGTAAAAGATGTCATATGGCATCAATCTTCAGAGAACAAAGAGCTTGTGATAAAATATCAAGCTGAAGTTTCTGAAGATCTCGAAAAAGAAGAATCTGAAGTAGAGATAATTTTAGATCCTCCAAGTAGAAAGACAAGCATTACGCAAGAAAACGATGGGTATATTAATCCTCAGACAAGCAATAGTACAGAATCCAACGATGCAACTATGAAATCTGAAGATCGACTTGAAAATGGACAATCACCCTCTAGTAAAGAATCCCCGACATCGCCGTTAACGGAGGATCAAGAAAAGGAACGCTCACAACCTACTCAATCATCTAAACGATACTCGACAAGAAGGGTTGCTACTACACCAACGACACAGGCAACTGAGCAAGAAGTAGTGGAAGATGGTGTTGGTCCTTCTCGAGTTACTAGTGAAATTCCACTATCAGGTTTGTGCTAAATGAAATTACATATCCTTTTTTTTTTGTAGACAAATCGACATTGGTCGACATTCAAATTATAATTGAGCAATAGTTATTGTAACGAAATTATATTTGATTGATGTCGGTACATTTGATATAAAATGATTAACAGTAAATGTATTGTGTGTATGCTGTAAATGTCAAATATTAGCGGTTTATGCACCTCCATTCAGACCTAGATCGATGAATCTCTCAGAAGACAAAGAAGTTAAAGCCGAGGAAGATAATCTTTTACCTCAACAACCATTGGACACACCAATTAGATATTATACTCCAAATAGGGTTCCAGTGATACCATCAAGTAATAATTTAATGGAAAACAATTCTGGAATAGCAGTGGCTCCACCAACTCAAGTTGAGAGCAATGGAATGGTTTATTATTATGATCCAAATATGTATCAACCTTATTATTATTATCCTTCAGTTGAAACTAAGGATGGTAACGATAAGGCACCATTTATACCACAACCACCAGCAAATGCAGTACTAGATAATGGCGTTTATTATTATTACCCTGTTTACTATCAATAACAGGTTAAACATATCGCCCGAGTCATACGGCTGGCAATTGGTTTAAGCAATATATACTATTGTAAAATAGTTCGTTAGTTTAAACACCAAGGTTTAGATACCTTTACTGTAAACACGATAAGTACGATGATCGACTTGATAGGAACTTTTTTTATATTATTATTGTGCAACAGATTTAAAAATTCTCATGTATTCGTAGATATGGTTGTTTTTTTTTGTATAGTAAAGCTTTTTTAGCGTAAATACTTATTCATCATCCCTTAATTGGCTTAAAGCTATTTACTAGAACTTTGAGAGTGAAATGAAGTATATTATTATGATATCAAAGATGTAGTACTTGTAGAAATTAAAGTTACTAAAATCAAATTGAAACAATAATGTAAAACGTACTTAATCTTCAAATTTTATTGAATGTGATTGCATGTCGATCTTACCACCACGATATGAACCACGTTTCTTTTTCGTTTTCTGAGCACGGAAATCTTTACCTCTAGTGGGTGCAAAATCATTATATGCTTTATGGCCATATGATCCAACAGCTCCACTCTAAAATTGAAACCCCGAAAAATTAATAGATGTATATTTACTTAAAATCAATAATTATTAATTATCATTACTTTTGCTAAGAAGCTATTATCTTTCAACTTTTCATTATGAAACTTGACTTCATTTACATTTATACGAGGTTGATAAAATCCATTCTTAGTTTTCCCTGGCTATTCAATACCATTATCGATGAGTTAGATATTGGAACATCAAAATATTCATTAAATCAGTAAAAATAATTAACCTCCACTGTTTTTATTTTATTCATTTGACTTTTCTGAACTGCAGGGGGGATGAAGAGACTGCTAGTTTGTTTTATAGATGCAGCACTAATAAATAATAAAATGATAAATTATCTATAAAAATTTAAGATTTAATATATTATTAAATACCTTGTAACTGCGTTTATCTTTTTGGTAGGTGGGGACCGACATCGATTATTACTATCGAAAGAATCATCTATACTACTTTTCCTTTTCTTGCTCGTTTGTATGCTACCTGAAGAATTACGTACATCTTTCTTATCCCTCTTTTTGGATTTAGATGATTCTGTATCACTCGGGTTATCTAAGTTTTTTTTCACACTTTTTTCTGAAGTAGATAATTCCGTGTCACTCAAGTTATCTAAATTTTTTTTTTCACATTTTTCTGAAGTTGATGATTCCACATCACTCTGATCATCCATTTTTTTATCTTTGTCGCTTTCCTCAGATGAAGACGATTCTGATTCATTCTGATCGTTTGATATTTTTTCATCTTTATCTTCTTCCTCAGATGATGATTCTGGTTCACTCTGTTCATTTAAACGCGTTATTTTTTTACTTTTATCATCATCACTTTCCTCGGATGACGAAGTCGAATCTTCCACATCACTCTGATCATCCATTTTTTTATCTTTGTCGCTTCCCTCGGATGATTCTGATTCTGGTTCATTCCGACCGTTTGATATTTTTTCATCTTTATCTTCTTCCTCAGATGATGATTCTGATTCTGATTCATTGCCACTTTCCCCTGACGATGATGATTCTGGTTCACTCTGTTCATCTAAACGCGTTATTTTTTTACTTTTATCATCATCACTTTCCTCGGATGACGAAGTCGAATCATCCAAGTCATCTGGATTTGCCATCTTTTTACCATTGTCACTTTCCTCGGACGAAGATTCTGATTCACTCGAATCGTCTAAATCTGATTTTTTATGTTGAATTGAATTAGCAACATTGAGAACATCAGATAAAGAATCATTACCACTTGAACTGGAACTGGATGAACTGGATGAACTGGATGAACTAGAACTAGATTCAGATTCTTCTGATGAAGTCGTATCTCCATCCATAGAGGATGAATCATCATCACTATCTTGTATTCTTTTTAAAATACAAATAAAGTTTAGTTATAATCATATATATTATATATGATTGATAGATAGATCAACTTATAATAACTTGCTTAAAATTTCGATTGTTAAAATCTCGGAAAATTTTTCTCAAGTCATACTCAGTTTCATCGTCCTTTATTAACTACACGAAAGGAATTAGAAAAAAATTAAAAAAAAAAATTATAACTTTATAGAACGTTGTGAATTCTAAGTATACTAACATTCGCAGCTTCTCTTTTAAACGCCGCCGCAGTCTTAGAATGGCCGGTATCTTTTAAGAATCTATATACAACTGTATAAAGCTCTTCGGGAAAAGTGATATCTGAAGAAGATGGCATATTAATTTCGAATATAAAGTTAAATTTTTTCTTTTTTTTCAAAAAAAAATTTATCCTGAAGCCACGAAGTTGATTGGTGAAGTTTAGATGTAAACAAAATTCATTGATTTCACGTGTTAATTGTACTATTAAAAAAAATTTACGTTCACGTATAAACTCACCAATCAGATTTACACTGGATTTGCGCTTTCATATTGCCAGTAGTGTTAGTACATTTGTAAGAAATGCGATTATGATTCCATGTGATTGTGATTAGGGGCCTGCAAATTGCCTATTTTTGAGGCCCGGCCCGGCCCGCAATTAGGGTTAAAATTTTTTTTTGCCGGCCCGGCCCGGCCCGCATTTAGGGTTACCATTTTTTTGCCGGCCCGGCCCGGCCCGCATATGTCAAATTTTTTCTTCAGCCCGGCCCGGCCCGCAAAAATTTCTTATATAATTTTACAAATTTTTAGGCCCGCACTGGCCCGCAATTATAAAATTTTGCAAATTTTTCGGCCCGGCCCGGCCCGCAATTATAAAATTTTGCTTCAGGCCCGGCCCGGGCTGCGGGACCCAACGCAGGCCTCTAATTGTGATTATGCAGAATCTATTGTTATATTACGTAACTCAAGTACAGTAGTAAACGATTTATCAATTTCACAAATTCAAAGTCAGAAAATGAAATAGCAAATAAAATATATAACTTTTTCTGTTTTCGAACCGGATCACTAAGTGATAGAGATGGAATCAGTGAATAATCAGTTACATAAAATTCTAACCCACAGCTTACATGGGATCTTTGCTATGAAAATGACCCTCCGAAGCTATGTTGATTTCATGAATGAAAAATTAAATTTACTATCCATCTAGTTATCCAATTTGAATGATTTTTTTTATTTTGTAAAGCTAAATAAGCTTTACAAATTAAAAACAAAAAAAGAACATTCAAATTAGATAACTAAATAGCCGGTAAATTTAATTTTTCATTCATGAAATCAACATAGCTTCGGAGGGTCATTTTCATAGCAAAGATCCCACATAATGTTTCATGACGATCTATGCATATCTGACCAATCATAATCGATCACGGGATGGCATTCACTAAAAAATGTAATAGTATTAATGTTATGTCATTTCGCAATTCTGTTAGTTTCAAAATAATACATGTTATTTTTATTATTTTTTTTTTTAAGTCTCCACCTTTAGAAAGTACCGTAAAAGTCGGACATGTATACCCCCTATGCGGTGTACTCCTTATCAGTTTGAAACGTTCGACCATGATTTATACCTGGATATTATATATACCTTCTAATTATACAACGTTACGCACTACAAATAACATAGACAAAACGTAAGCGCAATGCCATAATTATTGTAATTATAATGAATTATGGTATTTTTTTTTGCCGTAATTCATTATAATTTCGATCAATACGGCATTGTGATCACACTTCTAGTTTAGTTCACCAGCAAAATAAAGGTAACAAGATCAAAATTAATATAGCAAATACAATTATTATTTATAACATCTTACAAGTATCGTTTTTTATTCCATTACTAATGTGGTACATTACTTCATATTAAACATTAATAAAACACACATATTGCATTTGATAGTAAGCAAACTTTATATAGCAAACAAATTAGTTTTATTTAAAACAAAAAAATTTTGAAATTTGAAAAAAAAATTTTGAGATTTGATTATTATTCTCAATTATTATCACTTTCAATTCTTTTATACTCTTCATCATTAATATCATTAAGTTTTTCAATATTTTCTTTATTCATATTTTTTAAATTTTTATTCAAAGAGGTGTAATGATCTAATGAAGTGGATAGGTTGTTAATCTTCAAGTGGCAGATCTAGAATTCAAATCCTAGTAATAGTGAAAATTTGCAATTCTTTCTGTATTACAGTTAACTGTTTTTTGTAATTAGTTAGGATTAGATACCTGTAACCTATATTATATTAGTATAACTAAAAGATCTAGACATTTATATAATATTGTATAAAGAAACACAAACTGGTATCAGGTGATATGAACTCATGATAAGTCCTTAGGTCATATAAATCACAGGAATCAGATAGGAAGACAGAAGTTCACTTGGAAGATCTAAGTAGAAAGATAACCTGAACTTTTAACAATGTTACTGTAAAGACTAGATTTTTGAAATTGAATTAGAACTTGTAAAACCAAGCAAATATATCAGTTTTTGAAAAGGAATTGGATGAACTAACTAAATCATCAGAATTTCTGAATTTTAAAGAAAAAAGATACATGTCAGCAAACATATAAACCAGAGATGTATGGTTATAATTTACTTTTCTGGATTATCTAGAATGACAACTTGGTGAAACTTGAATTAAATACTAAATTAGTAAGAATATGTTGTGAAATTAGTATCAGAGTTAGAATAAACTCTACAAGGACATAGCAATTTAATAATATGTCCTAATCACCAATGTTAGTCTTGACCATAGCAATACTGGATCAGCTATAAAAATAGAATACAGAAAATTTTAAAAAATTTAGTATAAGATTAAAGGTTCTCTATATAAGTGAACTGTTTTAAAGACTTAATAACCATAACATATTTTTAATAATATTAGTCAGTGTTATTAGCAAACAAAGGTAAGTGAGTAGATACAGAAACTAGAATGTTTAAATAAAAATTCATAAGCAGATTTGGACTACTTAAATTAAATAATAACTAAAGTTGTATAAATAACTAGTTGTATACTTTTTTTATGATTACTTTCTATAATTGTAATATAACTATTAACCAAATATATTATTAATAAAATTCTAAGTTATAAGTACTTATCTTAATATTTAAAAAAAAATCTTTATTTAAAGTTTTATAATCAAATACTAAATTATTTTTAGATTTATTTATTTCTATTAAAATATCATAATATTTTTTTATTTTTATTTTTTTGAATTTCTCACTGCTTGGTCACTAGTGGGCTGCAACTGGTGGCTGTTTTATTAGTTCATGTTTCAAGTTTACAGAACCTCTATCAGGATCCTGTCTACATTTTTACATTGTTTGTGTACATTTACAGTACTATCTATATACTAATTTTTATGTTTCTATTACTTCAGAATTTTACTGTGATTATTTCTAATCAGGAATTCCTTTGTTCTATTATTATCCTCAGCCCCCTAATCATCGCGGCCTTCTTATATCAGGTCCATCACCATTTAAGGATCTGGGTACCAAAAATCTTCCTATTTTCGTAATATGCCATCTGGTGTGATTAATCCATAATCGTAGTTCTAACACAGTTTATATCCCCTGTTGGACTTGAACCAGCAACCTTGCGATTAGTGACCTGGGAGCGTAACCACTTTGCTATCGACTCACAGGTCATATTATAATATTTAAATAATTTTCTTATTAAATAAGAATTATAGTTATTTTTTTTTTTTTTTAACTATCTCCAATGCATTACATCATGGGGTGTGTGTGGCACTCTAATTTTCTTTATTAACTTTAATGTTTGGAACCTACAGGTTTATATATTTAGTTGCTATATACATCACTAGTGGTGTTTCTTAGCCCTACTATACCACATTATTAACAAGTTTATCACTATTGTAATAACCTGGGTCTCTGGCCCTGCAGTATAAGACCTCTTACTCGAGTCTGCAATTCTTTATCAACAATGGTTTTTTTAGGTTCCATCTCCTTATCTCTATTGCTTTTTACGATAATTTTCTAATCTGAAATCTTTATGTTATCGATATTTCTTGTCAGATTATCTCCTTATCTGGGCATCGTATAACCCCATGGCTATGTTACTCGACTTTGTTCTTGTTGTAGTCTTTGTCCAAATTTGGAAGTAGGCAATCTCCGTAGATTATTCATTCTTGTAATATTCTTGTCCAGAAGTAGAAGTGAGAAATCCCCTTAAGATTATACAATCGTGGTTCCAGCACAGCTTTTTCCTCCAGTTGGAATTGAACTGGCAACCTTACGAATGTGACCTGGGAGTGCTAACCACTGCACTATTGACCCACAGGTCTTATAGTTATTTTTTAAATAGTTGAAATTATACAAAAAAATATTTTTTAAGTATATTGTATATACTTGTACAATAAATGTCAATTGACTATTTTAAAATATCAGGATCAGTCATTTGACAATTACAAAGATTAAAATAATTAATATTATATTTATACATATTTATACACTTCTTGTATATTTATGCATATTTATATACTTCTTATATATTTATGTATATTTATGCATTTCTTGCATATTTATAAATATTTTATACACTTCTTGCATAATTATACATATTTTATATACCTCTTTTATAATTATATATAATTATACAAAAAGTGTATAAATATATATAATTATAATATTAATTATTTTAAACTTTGTAATTATCAAATGCTATTTTTAGTATTTTAAAATAGTTAATTGACATTTAGTGTATAAATGTATACAATATACTCAAAAATATTTTTTTAAATAATTTCAATTATTTAGAAAACAGTAATAGGGTGTGGTGACTTAGTGAAGTGAATAAGTTGTCAACCCTCCAAATGGTAGGTTGTGAGTTCAAAACCCACCAACAGTAAAAATTTAAATAATCACTTATATAATACATAGACGATATTATAGTGATGGCATTCTGTCGATCAGTTGGGATAGGATATCTGTAACTATGGTCACATCAGCATGACTGGCAGGTCACATAGCATTCGTGTAACCTTGGTTATACAGAGAAATGCAAACCAGTACTAGGCAGTGCAAACCTAAAATAAGTCTTTATGGCCATGTAAATCCGTAAAACTGGGAAACCAGAGCCTACTTGGAAAGACCTGAATAGAGAGATAACATGGATCTTTGACAGTACCACTGTAAAGGCTAGATCTAGGAAACAGATACCAATGTGAAGGAGTCAGATGGGCAAGAGCCTCAGGTGAGAGGTATCACTACCAGGCCACTGAAACCGAACCGAAGGAAAAGGATATCAGGCTGGCTCGATATACCAAAAACAGGTT